ACAAGTAGCTCGACAAATAATAGGACAGATGAACGAATGGACCGATGGACATCATTGCATACAGTGTAGGGTATCGAAAGTATTCCAAAATTTGCTGATTTCCCAAGAAAAAACAAATATTTATTCATAGCAAATATATTTCTGGAGAAAAGAATAAAGCTATATGTATATACATATATATATAATCAAAAAATATACATGTATATATACATATATACATATGTATACTTATTCCATCTCAACTCGCGCTTGGATTGCCAAGGAATTGAACGAACTCAGCTCAAACAAAATATTATTCAATTATTATTATATGTAGGGATTTGCTTCGTCGCTAGCGAATTCACGCCTGAAGTCCATGCCAGCTCCATTCTCAATGCGATTCGAGCGTTTGTCAGCTGCGGCATGATTGGAATTCAGCATTGGGGCGCAATGGGCGTGTCAATCGGCGTCACTTACCAACGGTGTTCTCATCGAACTTCATCAGCTGCTTGATCGCCTGATTGAACTCGCGCTCCGATATCATTTGCTTTGCCTCCTCATCGTCCATGTTGACTGTGTTGATGTTGACGGTGTAGATGTTCTGGTGCTTCGGATCAATGAATTGCTCATCACTAGCATCGCAGCCGTTTCTATTCTTGTGTCCGTCCGCATCATCGTCCTCGTAGTCGCCTTCCCCACTCACGACAGCGTCGGGTCGCTTGATATCGTGGAACTTCAAGGCTGCCCGAAGACAGAGGAAGGAAGAGAAGGGGGCGGAGGTGGAGTGCTACTCTAGACAGCGACGCTTATTAAAGCCGAACTCGTTACATACCTCGCATCGGACGCATCGGCTGAGTGGAGTCCATCAGCAGCCCCTCGGCAGCATTGCCCTGCTGCTCCTTGTCCACGACTTGAGCTGTGTGGTTGGGCTGTTGAGTGGGAAGCAGTCGAAGGATAAAGAGCAACCAGCTCGAGCTTACCCAACACGCCAGGCAGCAGCAGAAGCATCACAGAGATCAGCAGCAGCCAGAATAACTTTCGTGTCAAGCCCATTTCCCTTGCTATTTTTGTAGTTTACATAGGATTTGTGTTGTTAGCTTTATTTTGAGACCTGACAAAGATCTTGCCAAACTGAAACTGGGAACTGAACAGGCAAAGGCGAAGCTGACTAGACCTATTCAAGTGGCCGTATATAGCTAACCTAAGCAAAGGCTGCTCAGTTCATTTCCCACTCATCGAAACTTTGAGCAGCTGTTAAAGTTGATGTCTTAGTACGCAACTGAAGCACACTTGAATCCCCCTTTAAGCTCCTGTTAACAATTTGTTATGCCCATATAATTTGCGCAATGTTATTTTAATATATCTTTGGAATATTCCTTTGCCCCTGCGCTGCGCCTTTGGTTAGCGCGTTTAGTTTTGTTATCATTTTGAAGCGTTTGCGCTCTTTGAGCTTTTGGCTTGCCACAATTTTGCCTTATGCGGCTTCCCTGTAACCTCAAAGCCACCCACTCTACACTGCACACCGCCCCAATACCCAGCCCTTATCAATGTATGCAAAAAGCATTTGAGGCTGGCAAGGGTAAACGTTCAAATGGACGAAACAAGCTGCTAAAAGTTAAAGTTTTTGTGGCTGCGGTAAAACCAGCAGCAGCAGCAGCAGCCGCAGTAGCTCTTGTTGCAACATAAAGAGCCACACATTACACACACACACACACGCATACACATATACTCATGCGTAAACGTTTTGGTAGCACGAGTCGAACCTCAAGAGCCAACTAAACAAGCCCCAGCCAAATGGCGACTACCGAGGGGTTCTCTAGATGAGAGAGATAGGAGCGTGGTATATATATAAATGTATATGTGTGTGTGCAGCGTGTGTGTGAGTGTATAGTATGTGTGTGCCAGTAGCAACAACTTTTGATGCTCAATATTTTTGAAAACCCAACGAAATTGTTGCAACAAATTCACATAACAGTCAATGCACTAAAAAGCAAATAGCTGAAGCTGCGGCAGGGTGAGCACGACTAAAAGATACCCTGCATGCAGCACAAGGCTTATAGCGAAGGCTGCTCTGCACATGCAGATGCAGAGAGAGAGAGAGGAGAGAGGGGGAGAGAGAGAGACAGAAAGAGTAAGAGAGAGAGGGAGAAGGAAAGAGGGAGTAAGAGAAAGAGAGAGGGAGTAAGAGAAAGCGAGAGGGAATAAGAGAAAGAGAGAGAGGGAGTAAGAGAGAGAGAGAGAGAGAGAGAGGAGTAAGAGAGAGAAGGAGAATGAGAGGAAGAGAGAGAGAGGGAGAGAGAAAGAGAGAGACAGATTAGTTAGAGAAAGAGAAACAGATTAAGTAAGAGAGAGAGAGAGAGAGAGACAGATTGAGTAAGAGAGAGAAAGAGAGAGAGAGACAGATTAAGTAAGAGAAAGAGAAACAGATTAAGTAAGAGAGAGAGAGAGACAGATTAAGTAAGAGAGAGAGAGAGAGACAGATTAAGTAAGAGAGAGAGAGAGACAGATTAAGTAAGAGAGAGAGAGAGAGAGAGAGAGAGAGAGAGAGATTAAGTAAGAGAGAGAGAGAGAGAGGGAGAGACAGATTAAGTAAGAGAGAAAAAAAACACATTAAGTAAGAAAGAGAGAGAGAGAGAAAGGTAAACAGAGAGAGAGAAACAGATGCTAGCTCTATAAATGGAAGAGCTCAACTGAGAACTACAGACTTCAGCTGTACAACTGCGAAAGCTATGGATAATACCAAAAGGAACAGTGCTAAAAACCAAGATACCCCCTTCCAATTCATGAATGAGTATATCTACAATTGAATCATCAAGTTGAGATAACTAATTATCATCGACAGGAGAAGTTGAAGTCATATGCTCTATGGAAACGAATATGGCTGCTTGTCTGCAATATACCCTGTTTTATTTTTTCTAAACATTTTCAGTGGGCAAGGCGTATAAAAAATACCAAAATGAAATGTTTTAAGGTTGGCCAAAAATATTTTCGAACAATTTGCCGAGTGCAAAGCGAGTGTGTGTGAGCGAGTGTGTGTGTGTGTGTGTTAACGGGAATAGGCAAATACCAACTAAATGCCCAACAAAGCCGCTGCTAAACAGAAACAACTTCCGCCAACAAGGCCCACGCATCTTTATGAAAATGTCAAGCCATAAACGAGCATGGCTGGCTGGGGCAGGGGGCGGGGAATAGCAATAAAATGCCATCAAACACACATTTGTCAGTTGTTATTGTTGTTGTTGCCATTAAATGCAGCACAAWATGGAAACAAAAGCAAAACTGGCAAATGGCAAAAGCAAAGCACTGAATGGAATACAGCAGACAACGTGTGAAAGGGGGGGAGTACAGAGTGTGTATATATGTGTGCATGTGTGTGTGTGTGTGTAAAATGCTGTTCACCATTTGCCAGTTAAAAACATCTTAAAAGCTACTTTTAACCACAATTATGTAAATATTAACACAAACGTAGCCTAAGACAAAGGCAAAACACAGTGTATGTGTGTGCGTGTGTGTGAGAGTGTGACAAGAACAACAACAACAACAAGTTGTGTGTCTCTGACTGTCGACAACACAACCATTTACCATTAGCATGTGTCTAGCGGGTCGCTCTACGGGGCTTGCCGTGCGGCTGGGGGGTAGTTAGACCAGGTGCGAGGGTACCTATAGAGTTTTCTGCATGTGACAGACCGGGCAGGGGTGGTGCGGGGGTCGAGCAGGTTGAGGCTGCTGGCGACAGGTGTTGAAGTTAACGCTGAGACGAGGCGGAAAAGTCGTGAGACGAGACTAGGCAGCGACACGCAGGTGTCGAAGTGAGAAAGAGAGAGGGAGAGTGAGAGAGTGAGAGAGACGCAGGAGGCCGGGCTGTCGAGACGTAATCCCCAAGACGCACACACACACACACACGCGCTCACAGTCTCACATTGAAGAGGGCAATGTTAATAAGCAGCAGCAGTCTATCTTTCTCCCCCTCTCTCTCTCTCGCTCACTCTCTCACTCTGTTGGTGTGCCATTATTATTGAAAGCTTTTAGACATGGCAGCAGGTCACGTTCCCGACGTCCGTCCGGCCGTCCGACCGTCTGTCCATCAGGCAGTCATTCAGTCAGCACCCAAGTCAAATGAGCAAACGAAATGCAAAATGCACAGACAGTTGGCAAGACAGAGGACAGGCAGGATACAGACTGTGGCATACAGACGACAATCCGTTTTCATGGCTGATTTAACAAAGTTGGGAAGATACTGAATGGCATGACGGCAATACAACAGACAGCGAGCGACAGAGAGAGAGAGCGAGAGCGAGAGAGAGGTTGAGGCGAAGAGTGGGTCGAGATTCAGAGAAAAGAGTCCTATAGCAAACTGGCAGCAGATATAGAAAACGAACGTCAAATGCACTGCCCACCCGCCGAATGAGCTGAGACGGCATAGTCGATGTAGGGCAATGCAGTGAGCAGGTCTGCCTGCCTAGAGCCGCAGCTAATGGACTCCGACTGATGTGTGCACTGTAGCTTTAAACTGATAAAATGTGAAATTGACAAAGCTTTCAATGATTTGCTGGTTGCTGGTAAGCCGCCGGCTGCGCTGACTGAGGCCGCGGGGATGTGGCCCAGAGGAGGCAGTTGATAGGGGGTGCAGCTAGTTCATTGATGAAATGCAGCGCAGCAGATGTAGCCGAGGCTCAGAGCTCACTTGTTGCCAAAAGAGAATGAGAATTATTTCAATGCACGAAAAATCTGGGAAATAAAATAGGCAAACTGCAAATGTAACGCGGCATTAGCATGGGAATCGCGCAGGACGTGGCACACAGAGGGGAGGGTGCGGCGAGGGGCTTGGAGTGGGTGGCTTACACGCTGAGCGTAAACCAAAATCACATTAAGTTCGACGACGTTGGCAATGCGAATATGTGGAACAAACAAGGGAATGCAGATAATCGGGATGGGGGTGAGGCTGAAGCAGGAGCAGGAGCAGCAGCAGCAGCAGCAGCAGCAGGAGGTGGGTTGACAGAGGGGTAGGTCAATGCAGTCACGGGTCTAAAAATCAAAAATTTGAATTTCGATCACGTCTTCAATTACGTCGAATCGACGTGCATATAAATCAACAGCGAACAGCAGTCCACACACAGGACAGCACAGGAAGGAGGCAACAGGCGCAGGCAGCTCGCTTCGGTTGGGCCAGGCACTCAGTCAGCTAGTCCCTCACTCGTTCAGTCAGTCAGTCAGTCAAATGTGGTTTTCTTATTGTTGTTGTGTTGAGTTTTGTAAATCAAGTGGAAATGCCACAGGAAAAAAAAGCGAAAATGAAAATATAAGAAAGAGGAAACCAAATAGAAACCTAGGGTGCAGAGGGATTCACACATACATATATGGGGCAAATGGAGGTAGGCGAAATGTCAGCTAGGTTTTAGGCATGAGGCATGCAGGGGGGAGGGTGCTTGGGACTCATGCAAAGTGCAGTTGACATGCGGAAATTGTAGGTGCGCTGCGAGCTGAACTGAACTGAATTGAATTGAAGTCTTCTTCAATGGGGCGTGGCCACTCGAAGGGCGCTGCGATAGATGCTGGCTGCTGTCGGTCGGGCGAATTGTAAGCACTCGACAACAAATCGTGCGAAAAGCGTAATATGCACGCACACCAACCCACACACACACACACGCACACTCGTCGCACACACGCACGCAGTGAGAGTGTAAAAGTGTAAGCGGGTCTCGAGTGCCGCCTGAAGATGCTGCACTCGAGCAATGCGCATTTCGCGTCAACTTTTTAGCTGCAAGTGCGTCGCTAATTGCTGCTGCTCTCACAGGGATAAGCCGTAAATTAGAAGCCGACGCTTTAAAGGCGGCTACAGTCAAGGCCAAGGCCGAAAGGAGGAAAGGAAACGGTCTGAGGTAGAGTCAGCTGGGAAGAGTCTACTTAAAGACCAAAGTCACATTTCTCAAATGCTAGCGCGACCTCAACTTACTCTAGGCCAAGCGACTTATTGGAAGGGTAGGAAGGTTAGGAAGGGTATATGGTAGGACTCTTCACTTTCAGAGCGACCACCTTGAAAGGAGTCTAAAAGAGAGAAAGGTTTCTAGGCTAAGCTATGCATATGTCAGACCCGGCAGACATTGCTTCATTGCGACCTCAACTTACTCTAGGCCAAGCGACTTATTGGAGGG